CTTTTAATGCTAAGGAGTTGCTCCTTTTGCCCATAACATCCAAGCAAAGTTTCTTGCTATTTGCTATTGCAAAGTTAACATTTTTATCTGCTACAGACCTTTAAACATTTGAATTGAGTGGACCATAAAGGAGGTTCTACAGAATACTGCAATAGCACTAACTGCCTCTGCTGCTGAAAAGTGTTATCTTTGACATGTGATAAGACAGATAAACACTACTGGGAAGTTGTTCATTATAAAATATCATCTGAGTATAATTTCACAATATTAGAGTACATAAATACCTAGGTTTGTCACAGAATTTTATCTGTCTCTTAACAACCAAGATGTAGCACTAGGCATCTTCTCAACAAACCCCCAAAATCTCACAGAATACTTAGTAACAGTCCGTGTGATCAATTTCAGTTATAAGTCGATTCAATTTAATGCAGTGGCTAAATCCTTTGATTTCATAAGAACAAAAAGGCAATGAAGCCAGTGGGAGAGGGCAACATTAACACAGAGGAAGGCTGGAATTTCTTGACATCAAACAGTCTAAAAACCTAAAAGAAAGAATCTGAATGAAGGTTTACTTGGACAAATAATGTTGGAAACACATTAATAAATAAGGAGGATGAATGTAAGAAGCAGGAAAAAAAGAAAACATTGCTCACCAGCAAACCAATCACAGATTGTTGATAAAGTACAAACAGTAGTAACCATTTTCATTTTTGACAGTTCCACAAATGTGAAATATACTAGAAAAATATACTTGTGAAATATACTAAAAAAAGTAAAAGCTTTTTCAAATACCTAACTAAAAAGAAAGATTTAAGAAGCAGGAGTGCTATGCAATGATGATGGAGTTGAAATTGAAGAATCTGAATATACTTCATAAGTAACTGAACACTTGCTCATTACTTCAATGAATGAATAGTGCTGATGAGTGAAAATATGGAAGCTACCAGACCTGAAATTAGAGCAAAGTTCTAAAAGTTAATATGCTCAGAAGAACAGTGGAAAACCCAACCGAGCTATTTTAAAGAACTGTCTCATGAAATTGCAGCTCTAGCAACACAAAGCTACAAACAACCCAGAGGTATTATTACTGCAAAACAGCAGAAGTAGCATTCATATTTGAGAAGGAGCAGAAAGAATCACATTGGAAATCACAATCCTATTTGCTTAACCTTCAGTGCTTTGTCAAAGCAAACTAAAGGAGACACAGAAATAAGTGGACATAGAATAAAAATACATGACTTGAGTTAAAATTACACAAGACAAACATAAGTCTTCCCCAGAAGAATGCCCCTATACAAGGGTATGCTCTTTGGAATTAGCATATCTGTCCATGGGCTCAAAAGCCCCTAAGAAAGAAAAGGAGCTGCATGATCACAGTGTGACCATGACCCAACAAAGGAGTGTGTGGGGAGTGAGAAAGGAAAGGAAACACGGTTTTAATGCAAGTAGTTTTAAGGATTCACTTAGAATTTTCATTCAGAATAACCTTGTTCAGAAAAAGATTAACTGAAACTAGAGCTATTGCAAAAAAGAGATGCTAATATGAGTAAAAGAGCCTAACATCAAAGGGAAAAAGCAAGACTGAGAAGAGCATATAATTACTGTCTGCCAAAAGATTACTGTTCTTACCACTATGATGGAGGCAAAGTTATTCCAGTTCATGAATAGTGTTTCCATTTTTAAAAAAAAACTGTTCATCTCTAATCATAGCTCCCTTCAAAAACCCGTTGGCACAAAGTTTCTGCTTTGAGCGGACAAGCTCATGTCAGCTTCTTCAAGAAAAAGTTACTCTTTGTATAATTGACAGTTAATCCAGTACAAGCTGACAACTGCACAATCCACCCCTTTAATGCAGCATATTTGCAGTTTATTTGCCTTTTTAAAATCTGAGAAATACAACTTCTAACAAGTTCATGGTGTTTAGCAATAGAAAGACAATTCCTTAGAGGGGGTTGAAATCCCTCAGTTTGTTGGTGTTATGGAGCTATAGATGAACAGTAAGTCACCAGTTAGGAAACAAAAAGCCATTACGCAGTCCTCAAAAGTGTTGTCTGATGAAGCCATAAAGTGTAGCCGTGCCTGGTTAGTGTTGGTAAACTTAAAGCAATGCAAGCCAGTACCTGTACAAATGTATCCTATGGCCCTGTAGAACCACCAGGCACCTCCAGACCCACACCAAGCTATCTTTGGTGACCTTCTTAAGTCTTTGCAAACTACCAAAATTCCAAGACAACATCATGCAGTGATGCAGCTTCATGTAGTGGCACTTATTTTACGAAGTATGTGTTCTCTGCCATTCAGTTGCTATGAACTGCACTTAGAGACACCATTACTCCACAAAATAAAACATTACATACAGGATATTATCATCAGAGACAAGAAGCATCTGCAAAGCTCCTATAATGGTCACTCGCTAGAGGATTTCTCAGGGCACAATGTAAAGCATATCTAGGTTTCAAAAAAGGAGTGTAACACAGTTGGACTTTTCTAGAATCAGTGCTACCATAAATGCTGAAGATCCAGGAACAAACTAAGAAATCAAGCGCGATTTGAAAATATGAGGAAATGACAGTACTATAATGAGCACCATGAAAAATGACAGGAATGCATAATAAAAAACTGAGTATCCTTTCTGTCATTTTGCAAAAGAATGATTCATTACTCATCAAAAAAAACCCCCAAACCAAAACACTGCTACTATGTTGAGGCTCCACTTTTTAATGAAACAAACAGAGAGCCCCATGGTAACAACCCACGTTCAGTAACAAGCTGCAACTATTTAAGATATTTTTCCATTACCAATTTAATACACTCCTACACTCTTTTCTACTACTGCTACAGTTACAGTATAACAAAGAAAAGCTACTGAAGCAAGCAGGACAAATTCTCCTGGGTACCCCTTAGAGCTTTCTCCACCTGCTGTTTCTTCGATCAGCTGAGATCACTCCTGCTGACTAGCCCTCTGCTGCAGTAGCAGGCTGGTAGGCTTAGAAACACTTCTTCTGACCTGGCCAGTTGGGAGGTGTCCCTTCATCTCTTCCCTTGGAGCAGCTCTAACTCTGTATGCCTAACACAGAAAAACATCAACTTTATCTTCATAAGCAGACAGCACTATTTACATGAACTATTTTCAAGGACGTGTAATGCATAAACACAAACTGTCCATTACATACACTTACACGGTATCTACTTTCCAGATATTCAAGACAATAAATTTGGCTTACTTTCTCAGAAAGCATCTCTAATCATTTTTTTGTAACACTACTGGACTGTACTGCCCCATAACTATCACCACACCTTCACATAGGGGATCTTAGAAACACAAACAACATAGTATCAAATCTGTTACTGCTTTCTAATCCTCTGCTGGCATTATATACCAGAGGTATTCAATTATACATATGACACCAATCCAGGTTTTTGCGGGTACATGCACATGACAGCTTGTGCACTATGTGAAAGTCTAGACCTTAACATGTTCTACAGATCCCTACTACTTGGCATCCAATTTAAACAGCACTTTCTAAAAGTTCACAGGTGTTAAAGTACGACGCCATCATCTAAGACAATAAGAGTCATTACAAAAAAAGAAAAAAGAAGCTCCACTGGAGTCAGTTCATAAGAAGTACTGATGTTTAGGGCAACAGGCTTACACCTGACACATTTCACACAACTGTCTTCTATTCACAAGTTCTCAGCTACAGCCAGGAATTCAGTTCAGGTAAGACTGACTTCACACTCTAAGGTAAACATCTCCAAACCCAAGTAACACAAAAAAAACAATGGAAAAAGCATGTCATGTACATCAAACTATTTTGTACTGTAGGAGCACCTTTCATCTGTTCTTACATCATCACTAAGCAATTACATTAAGCAAAGAAACAGATGTATATTAAGAAGATAACTGTTTCTGGGGCCCAATACATTTAATTACTTTCAAGACACAATGAACGTTTAAAGAACTCACCAGACAAACATTGATTTAATCTTACGGGAAACTTGTAACAAAAAAACCCACACATCTCCAAAGGTGTTTGATGCTAACATTGATACTTTAAAGGGATAAAACTGATCCTAGACCTTCCTAGTTTCAAGCCAAAAACGTCTGCAAGTCTGCCTAAAACAAGGGAGTTGCTAAGTAGATCATACAAATTCAACATAGTACTACTTCATCTGCAAAACGTTTTCATTATCAGTGAAATACATAACACTGCCCTTCAAAGTGTCATGCTAGGATTCACACTGGAAACCACTTTGAACACACAGAGCTGATCACAGCCCAGAGCTGGTTTTGGGCTCCTTCCAAAATCGTGAATGTTCCCATCTCTCTTATCATCAGCAACAGTCTCTTTACAATTATAGCAGCAGGGCATACTAAGAATAAAAAAATAAGCGTGCTCTGAGATAAGAAAAATTAAAAAAAGCCCGAGTAAGCATCAGGAGGCCTGACTGAACCCTACCACAACTCTCTACCGAGGGGGCACGCCCTGCTGCTCTGGGGAACAGCAAAGCTGCGGTAACGTGCTTCGAGGAAGTGCGAGACAGAAAGGCACCGAAACACACACAGCTGTGATCTCAGGACATCTTCCTTTCTCTCCCTCTCCTCTTCCTCCCCCTCATTCCGCCGTTCCACTCAGAACCGAGGCGCGAACGGCACCTTCCCACAGGCCTTGCGGGCCGGGGGCGAGGCATCGAGCCCGGCGGAAGGGCTCGGGGCGGCCCCGGCCTCCCCCTGCCCGCCCGCGTCAGGTCTGACAGCGGCCACAAAGACGGGGGCCGCGCACCGCCGCCCCACGCCGCCGCCGTCGCTTCCCTTTCTCTTCACCTACCTGACGAGGGAGACCCGGCTGAGCCGCCGTGCCCTCCCCGCTTCTCTAAACCCGAAGAACCGGGTTCCCACCCTGCTTCCCCGCCCCGTCCGGGTTTGTATGCATATGACACCCTCCCCCCCCCACTCCCGGCCCTCACCCTCTTCTTGCCCGGGCCCCAGGGAGCCTTACCTGCGGGCCAGCCTGCCGCAGTACCGGAACGCCTTAACACGGAGGGGGGGGATTTGTTTCACTCTCCTCTCCTCCCCCTTCCACGGGTGCGAGGAGCCCGTGGGTCCCGGAATCGCCTCAAGCTCCTTCCGTCCCTCACTCCCCACGCCCAGAGCCCAAGGAAGAGGCAGAAGCCGCCCCAGGGCGAGCGCGCTGCCCGCCGGGCACGGACCGTCCAGGGGCCGCGGCAAAGGCAGCGGCAACCTCACTTCACCCGTTCCCCCCCCTTCCGCCCCTTCCCCGTGAGGGGCCGCAGGAACCGGAGCTTTAGGCAAAGACGAGCCGCACCGCTCCAGGCCGCCCTCCTCCTCTCCTCCCCTCCCCTCCCCGCCCCGCCCTCTTGCCTCCTCCCCTTCAATGCCGGGCGGTTAGGGCCACATCAAGAACCCCGGTAGGAAACAGCGGTTAATTTCAAACCGCCCGCAGGGTCCTGCGGAAGGAGGAACGGGCCGGCGCTGAGAGGAGGGCGGCCGGCCGGCAGCCGCGGCGGGAGCGGCACGCGGCACACGACCCACGCTGCTGCCGCCGACACCGGCACGCGGCCGCGCTTCCCCCCCAGCCCCTCGCACAGGCCGGCGAGGCGCACTGCGCGTGTGCCGGGCTCGCTGCCGCGGAGGGAGGGAGCGGCGCATG